AACCTTTTACTGACTGCTAATATTTAAAAAAACATATATATACTCCAAGGAATGAAAAGTGGCAGTGACTGTAACTGAGGATCTGTGGACTATAGGTCAATGAAATAGCTACACTCTGTCACAGAACCAGTCAGCTACTTAAAAAAAAAAAAAAATCAAGATGCCACAGAAAAGACATACAAGGAGACAAGAGGGGGGGAAATCAGCAGTAGAAACCAGGTATCAGATCCCTGATAGGGTAAATTCACTGAAATCCAGAATATGCACATAGCTCTTTAATTTACCTATAGTTGTCAAGTATACAAAAAAAAATGTTATACATGTTCTAAAAGAAATTCTCTTCCATGAAGGCAGCCTTTGAAAAAAATCATATTAATTACTGTGATTTTATGGAAAGATTAGTTTTAGTTTTTGGATGTTCATTAACACCCTCCAAACATATTTTTTCTACATTTATTATACTTACATCTGTCCGTATTAGACATGTTCCTGAAAAAAATGCCCCCAAAATAAGAAGCTCTGTGTGTTAACATTTCATTGACTTATATTAAAAATAGGAGACTTACACCCAAGAGGAAAAAAACATTTTATGGTGCAATATATAATAAAACCACATGGAGGTTTGGGGAAACCATTTGTCCCTATTATTACCTCCTGGAAGACTTTATTAGAAGAGTTGGTGTGGGTCCCAAAGACAGCCGTTGGTTCTGGATCACTCTGTAGTCATGTTTCCTTCCTGACTCAGTGACTGTAGAATTTGGTCAAACTGCAGCAGTTAAACTGCCATTGCCCTCTTTTGTCTCATTGTGAACTCCATGTCCAGAGTCACTATTGAGCTAAGGAATGAAGGGCAACATTACGGGACTTCTAAATTCCGTACTTTGATGGGAAACCTATGTCAAATTTATTCTTTTTCTTTCAAAGCTCTAAAATTAAAATTACATGGTAATGTAATTAATTTACCTGATGCAATTAATGTTATCTTCCATGAAAACAACCAACTTCTTCTTTTGATGGAGATTATAAAATCATATTATAAGTTATACTTCCCAAATGTGTTCAGGAAGTGAGGTACGAGAAAATCATATGCTTGATGTAGAACACCATGAAATATCTACATTTTAAATTCAAAAGAATTTTATGTCAAATTTTATCCTAACTTATACATGAACTGTACATGGAAAGCAAATAGCAGGTGCAAAGGGTTTACGAAAAATTTATAGAAAAAATTTATAGAAAAAAATCAGTATTGAATATTCTATCCATTTTCCTTATAAATTTAAAAAAGATTGTAATAATTCATTTTTACCAGAATACCTCTTTCAGCACATGTGCACACTAGAATTTCAATCCCAGTGCACACTAGAGGCAGAATATAAACATTTCATTTACACTTAAATTAGAAGTACATATATTGAATAAATATTGTTTATGGACACTATAACAACTAAAATCAATGATAAAAGATACATGTTAAACTCTTAATAGTATGGTTGGGGGAACCAGGTGGCGGGTATTAGAGAGGGCACGGATTGTATGGAGCACTGGGTGTGGTGCAAAAACAGTGAATACTGTTAACGCTGAAAAGAAATAAAAAATTAAAAACAACAACAACAAAAAAAACCCTCTTAATAGTATGACCACCATGGTGATGTAAATGAACCTAAATTTTTTACTGAGGTATAACTGACTAAATAAAGGTAAACTTTAATAAAGTTTAATAAAGTTCTCCCTTTTCTAAATTTATTCTAAAGATTTTTTTCCAATTATTAGTTATATTTAAGAGATAAGAAGCAACCATCACATATGCATAAGGCAACAATTTATTCTGAGATTTACTTTCGTCTGCTTTCTTTTCAGTCTAGATTTCAACAATTTTGGGAATGTTACAGTGAACAAAATGTATTAATCAAATATTCAATTTGTAATATATATCATTTTTCCAGAATTTTACAAAACTGAAATTTCATATTAGAAGATTTAGGATATCAATAATATTTCCTATGTATATTTAAAACACAGGAGTGAGCAGAGTTAATCATTCAGGGAAAACCATTATGGAGACACTAAAATCAAAATCAATTAGTTTCAAAATAAGGCAAGATATAAATGACAGTATTTAGCTTTTACATCCATGACTTCAACTGTTCCTAACAACTAATGTGATGAAGGCAGATAAACAATCCTCACTTTATATAGGAAAGGTCAAGAATATTAATTTAAGAAATATTTCCCTATTGAGCATCTACTATATAACTAGGTACTCCACTAGGTCCTGAGGGCACAGAAATGAACAACAAAAAAAGTCTAGCCCAAGCTAACTAAACCAGTAACCATTAAAGCAAGGAAGACAGTAACTACCTACTTGTCCCTTTGTCTCTTTGATTTTAAGGTGAGGATGAATATTAAAGGAAGCTTAGTAGGGAGGTATAGGACAGACACTTCAGAAAGAGAAAAGCACAGGAGCAATACTTCCTAAGTTTAAGACTAGATAGAATGTGTGCTACACACTTTCTACTTAGAAAGTATTTTTTTTCCCTTTCTGACTGGAAATTAGGGTAGCTATAAAAAAAAAAGTTGTGTGTGGTGGGAGGAATTGCTGGATTCAGAAGGCAACTGAAGAACACTGTACAGCTTTTAGGAAGTAGGAAAAAATTACTGCTTGAACCAAGCAAAACATGGACATGGTTCTGGTTCTGACATACACAAATGCAGTTAACATGGTATTAGGGAAATGGAGGACTGCCTGTTCTTAAGATGATCATTAAGAGTAATGATTCTGGTTTTGGCATGAGAATGAGTAGATATATAGACATAATGTATAGCAAAGAATATTTACAGTCACATTTTATGCACTAATAAATAATGCATTCACTTCTCTAAATGCCAAAGAAAATGTGGGAGAGAAAATTTTCATCTATATTCAGGATTAAACTTTCTAATTTTAAATTACCAGACTTCAGATGTAAATTTAGTTCAGTTGAAAGGTTTGAAGAGATTATTAATGGATCTTCTAAACTTCTAGAGTGTTTAAAAGATGATTTTAATATAATAATCTTGCCATAGGCATGGCAAAAATTACAAATTTATTGAGTACCTATTATGTGACAGCACTGTGCTGGGTGACTTATTTCTAATACTCTAAGTCACATTTCAGTTTTCTCAATTTTTCTATCAGTAACTTTTAAAAAATATTTTATTTATATATTTGACTGAGACACAGCGAGAGAGGAAGAAACACAAGCAGGGGGAGTGGGAGAGGGAGAAGCAGGCTTCCCGCTGAGCGCGGAGCCCTGTGAGGGACTCGATCCCAGGACCCTAAGATCAGGGCCCCAGCTGAAAGTAGACGCTTAACAACTGAGCCACCCAGGCTTCCCTCCATCAGTAACTTTTACATTGTTAATTTAAAGCTGAATTACTTGAAATACAGCTCATCCTATAAAGCTGGTACCAAAGACATGTCCTCATCTGAACCGGGCAGAGGGATGGGTGGGAGGGAAAACTAAATCCTACTGAATACGGAAGACCTGACTTTCTTGTTATTTGTAATGTGATCTATATGGTCTTTCAGAAATCCCCAAACTTGTATAAAGTGAGAGACTTGAGATAAGATCAGCAATCTATCAATTTCAAAGACATTTGTCAGCCCTTGTCTCTTGCCTTAAGGTCCTATTCAGGGATAACTGCCCATTTAGGTAGTAAACCCTTAGTACCTTAACTCTACGTCTCAGCGCCTCCGCTCTCCGTCTACTCTAAGGGGAAAGCAGGGAGGAGGGCCCACAGCTCGGCGGCGGGGCGGAGGAGGCCGAGGTGACAGCAGGTGAGAGCCTGGTGCGGATGAGGAAGTGAGACAGGGGCCGTGTGGGTATTACTCATTATGCTTCACCGCCGGTGTTGCCTGCAAGAGGAACTTCTCGCCTCTCTTTCGGTCCAGCTGAAGTTTTATCTAATTGAAGCCACTTCCCATCCTTGTTCGCTTGGGGGAAAACCATGCGTCCGTGTCAGGCAAGGGAGTGAGAACTGTGGGGTCAGGTAGTCTCTCCGTGACGCCGCGTGTCCTCGCCGTCAGAGGCCGAGCTTCCCAAATCAGTCCCTACTGTTCCCCGAACCTGCCCTCCCTCTACGCTTGGGAACTCCCCGGGTAGCCCAGAGCACGACCCTCTCCCGCGCCCCAAGATGCGCTGAGAGAACACACGCTGCGTGGGAGCGGAGCCCAACCTTGACCAAGCGGGAGGACAGGTTGCTCCGGTCACTGCGAGGGGGCACCTCTGAGGGTACCGGGTCCTGAGAGCGATCAGCCAGACCCGTCCGCGCCCCAGGCAGCCGCGGCGGGTGTGGCCAGTTCAAGAAGCACAACGCTGCTGAGCCTCCTACTTTACCTTTCTCACTCCAACTGCCTGCCGCCCTTCAGACCGCGTCTCCACAGTTTCCCAACGCCCCCCTCCCCCATCCCACGACACCTGAGGGAAACTTTTCCCTCTCCCCTCAATTCAAACTCAGCTGCTTCTACGGTTGCCGCAAACCGTCCTCTCCCTAGCAACGAGGTTCCGGCCGTAGAGCGAGCGGCTCTAGGTGTAAGGAAGGTGATGTCGTAAAGCCGCGAGTGTCGTAAACCAGGTGCGGTGGGGAGGGGGGAGGGGTGGAGGCGGAGGGGTGGGGGGGAAGGGGGAGGGAGGGGGAGGAGGTGACTCGAGCATTTAGACACAAGCGAGAGGATCATGGCGGATGGCCCCAGGTGTAAGCGCAGAAAGCAGGCGAACCCGCGGCGCAATAACGGTGAGTGGCGGAGGGGACCGGGGAGCGGCGGAGTCAGGGGGAGCCGGGCAGCCGGGGCGCCCCCGGGGGTGAAGGGGGCGAGCCGGGCTGGGGGCGGCCGGGGCAGAGACGGGCAAAGTGGAGTGGGAAAGTAGAAAGTAGTGCTCTCTGCCCCCCCTCCGCTGCTGCCGCTGCCGGAGCCGCGCCGCGGCCGCTCGCTCTCCCTGAACCGTTATGTCTCTTACCTGGTCTCTCTCCGCCTAGCGGCTCCTGCCGCCCCTGCCGCCTCCTTGGACCGTTAGCCGCCGCATCCCCGGCGCAGGGCGGGCGGCCGGGACGCGGCCGGCCACTTTTCTCGTCCCGGGTGGAGCGGCTGTTGCTTCTTTTCGCACTTTTCCCCACTCTTTTGCCCCTCGGCGCCTCCCCTCTCCCCCTCCTCTCAGCCCCCTCCGCGTTATTCTCCCTCAGCGCGGAGGCCCCCGGGAGCCGAGGAACAAACTTGTGGCCGGCGCTGACCGTGCAAAGTGGCTTCCGCGCGCCACGGCCCCGGCCGGCGCCGTCGCTCGGGCCCCGCGGCTCCAGCCGGGCCGGGCTGCGGGCGCGCGGCGGGCGGCGGCGGCGGCGGCGGCGGCGGGACGCGGCGGCCGCGGGCTGCGTGTCGCCGTGCGCGCGTGTGCGCGGGCGCCGGCGGTGCGCGCCACTGGCGGACCGGGCTCGGCCGGCGGCGGTAAAGTTGTGACCGGCCGGCGAGGCGCGCTCGCGGAATGGGGATTAGCGGAGCGGAGGCGCGGGTCCCTAAGCGCCCCTCCTCCCCCGCGCCTCGGGCCACCGTACCGCGGGCCCCCGGCTGGGGACGCCGAGGCGAGCCCCGCGAGTGAGGTCCACGTTCAGTGGGGAGCTGGTGGGGCGGCAGAGGAGATGGGGCAGGAGCGGGCACCTACTTGCTGCTGTGGGAGATCTGTGGATGGCGGCGAGCTGGGCAGCGGGTGTGTTTGTGGAGTTGTTACCTGGTCTTAGGGAAGCACCACAGACAGATCCCCCCCTCCCCGGGGGAGACTCCTTCTCCGCGCTGGGATGGGGTTCTGTGCGTACGCCTCTCATTTTTCTCTTTCGGTTTTTGGGGAAGTTGTTACCTGGGCCGGACGCACGGAGCGCTGAAGCCGGATAATGGAGCTTGGATGGCGCTCTTGGTCTCGGGTGGAAGGAGGGTGGGGGAGGGGGCAGACGGACCGACGGACGCACGGGTCTGCTGCTGTCGCTGCAGCTGCAATGTTTATTGATTTGTGCTGATGTGCCGGGGCAATACACACCCCTCTGCCTGGCGTGAGAGTTAAAAATAAATAAATAAATAAGAGAAAGAGAGAGACAGCAAGAGAGAGCGAGACCCGAACATGTGGTTGTTGTTGCACTGTCGCCTTTTCCAGTTTGGAGAGACGTTGTAAGTTGATTGTATTTCTGCTTATCTTGGGGGCGATTCTGTGCTTTCTCTCCCTCTTGTTCAGCAGCGAAATGTCTGCTGATTGTTATTGTCTGGACAGTTCCTGTGGCGAGAGGGGCGAGACTTCTCCGCCCGGGGGCGGCGGTAGCGCGGGGCGAGGTCCCCCGCCCGCGCCGGCCCGGTACCTGTTTGTATAATAATGGGCGGCAACGGCCCTGCCTCTGGCTGCAGCCGAGTCTATATAAGGAATTACACGTACATTTCGGACCGAGGGGCTCATTTTGGTTCCTACGTTATTTTTGAAACGAGTTTTTAACTGTAGGGAAATAAATGCGCCTATAATGGGAACGCTGTTTCTTCCAGAAAATGAGGAAATACGTGTTTAAGTAAAAACTCTCTCGCGCTGCCCCCGCCCCACCCCCAGCTCCTGGGCTCCCTTTCTCCCTCCCTTCTGGGATGCGAAACGCGAGGTTTTGTAACCTTTCCTGGCAATTTTAGATTTTGTGTGGGATTTCCTGTCTAGAAGCAGATACGAAGATTTTTAGCTGTTTCAAGATGTTTCCTTCCAATCGTAAAAATATTTTTAATATATTTGAGCCGACATTAAAATCACTGCTTTCATGAATGATTTTAGCTATACAAATAAACATTTGCGTTTTAAAGACGTCTGTTAGTTATGATTGATAACTAATATTTGGTATCGTCATTGTGGAGAGATGACTTGTTACAGCAAGGAGCGGAGCATAGGCTATTGCAATTTTAATTTCCTGTTTTAGCGTCAAATATGTGCTATATTGAGCTGTTGCCACTGTTGCTGATGTGGCTTTATGAAAGGTAAGTTGCTTCAGAAAGGGCTGCTCGCTTTTTACCTTATTTAAAATGTTCATCGCCAGAGAAAGGGGCTTTTCTTGTTGCTGACGACATGTGTGTGACATGTGAGTCTGAACCACCCAGCGTCTGTGCAGCTGCTGTAAACATGTTTACCTGAACGGGAAAGAATGGATTTTTCTCCTAAAGATCCTGTGATATGAATATTACACTCATAAGGCATATCAACAGATGACTTAAGGGGGAAAAAGCTTTCCTGAAAGGTACTTGAAATCAACAGGAAAAAGAGGTTCTCGATCGCTGCAGCAAATGGCAACTTGTGCAGGTAGAAAAAAGATGGTGTTTAGTTTTCTCCTGCATGTATGTCAGCCCCCTCCTGTCTGCTGCTTTCATTCTCAAGGGAGGGATTTATTTACCATGCTTGCTGTCAGTGTTTTTCCTTTGTGTTTAATATTAGAAAAACAGATTTGGGCTGTTCAGCACAAAATGTCTTGTCTGCAGTATGCATTACTCTCAGAAAACAAAAGGTGTTTAAGATAGCACCGTACTACTACAGGTATCTTCCATTTTCATCACTTTTGGCTCTGTCCTTGTATTTCTTTTTGTTCTCAAATGCATTTTATGCATTGCCGATGATTACAGCCATGCTATTTGATTAAGCCTTATAATTTACAGATTAAAAATGAAGTTATATGCCATTGTGTTGTGAAACCTCAGAATAGGTGCTGGTTAATATTTCTTAGCAACGCAGTCATATTTAAGTTGCAGTTGTTTATTGGAGAGAATTGCATGAAAGAAAACTCTTAAATCTTTTTAATGAGGGAATAAATGATGTGTACAGTGGATGATAGCATTAGAGATAGTTTATGTTGTTATTTATATGTAAATAATTTTTTGTTCATTTAAAAATAAGATATGCAGATTTTACTGCTAAGCCTCCAGTGAAACATTTTAATTTCCTTTCTGGAATATATCTGCAGAGTAGGATATTAATGGGAGAATCAAGTAATGTAACTTGACAGGGGTAAACTAACTGAGCAAGGCTTGGCCAAAGCATCAAACATTAGGTAGTAACTTTACGGTGATGATGTTAGTCATGTATAAAGGAGTGGCATTAGAATTACGTAGAATCGATTTTTACCATTTGTAATGTCATGCTTTGTTTGTTGTATTTTAAAAATATGTCTTCTAATTTTCCACTTCTGCGTGGTTTTTGTATGTAAGTATGTATGCATTTTGGAGGGGGAGAGAAATGTGCGCTAGTTACTAATGACCACATGCTGATTAATTCACTTTAGATGAAATAGCAGGTACATATTTTTCTGTCATTTGCACCATTTCCACTTGCTGTCTTTGGAAACCACCAGTAGAGGATGCTAACAAAAAAATGATTATTGGTATAGTAGCACCATAAGTCTCTCTATCTCCTGTTGATTGGGACCTCTGCATTAATAGGGACCTTTGGTGTAATTCTGGGTCTTCGTGTTGCTTAAAACTAGCGTTGGGTAAATTAGGCATAAACATTTTCTGGTTTGCTAAGATGGAAAGAAGTAGAAATGTTTTAACTTGAACAATTTTATAAGTTTGAGCTTTTTAAATACTGAGATTGGTATTGCTATCAATTTAGTCTTGCTTTAGACCACTTATATTACTACTCTTTTTGTTTGTTTTTATGTTGTTAGGTTTGTAAAAGAATATGTGATGATTGGCCTGTATTTATTTTGCATATTTACTGTATTTTTAACCTTTTTTATTCATTGTAAGATTCCCTGAAAACATGTATTTTAGATGTTTAAAGATGTAAACTGTTAAATATGGTTAAGAAAAATTGCAATTAATTGATTGTTAATACTTTCTAATTATCTTCCCATAACTTATGTAAACTTAAACTATATACATGGATTGGGCAAACAACAACTAAAGAAGGTGTTAACCAGCAGCCACTCAGATGTTAATGATTTTTAGATTTTATCTTTTCCTTTCCCTTCTAATTAAGAATCAGGTAGTGTAGAAGTTTTACATTTGTCAATTGTAAATTAGGAAGTATGTTAGCTTTGATGTTTTAAATGCAGCAAAAAATTATCTGTGGTTTGATAATTATTGTATGTTTGTATTCATGAATTCTTTTCAAAGTGTGTAAATTGGTATTATGACTTTCACGTATAAAAAATTGCATGAGACTTGGTGTATTTAGTAATATTTTTGGTGTGTGTCTACAATTAATATAACTGTAAACTTTTGGAAGATTTTCGTTAGGTCAAATGTTAGAAATATTTCTTTGCCTAATTATTTTTAATGGTATTTCTAAAAATGCATCAACAGTAGTATCATAATGCAATAGTAATACTGCTTATTTTGAATTAAGTAGGAATTACCTGAATTACCAGGTAAGCCTGTGTGATTTCTCATTTTAGAATGTCATGGTTTTTCAAGAGTGTGTGTGTGTTTGTGTGTATAAATATAGTTTTACATTTCCTGACAGATGTTTCTTGAATTTGGTGTTCACTTAATTCTTAGAGCTCAGTAGTAATAGGTGTGATTCACTTACTACTTTTATGAAATGGGGAAGTTTACCACAAAGCCGTAATGTATATGATTGTGGCATGGAGCAAACTTGAAGTATCTTATAAACTGAGAGCATCCATCATTTGTTAAGATGAGCCTGTTGTAAAAGCACATGGAATATTTCATTATTTTTTCTTTCTTTATTTTATAGTATTTTTGAAAGTTTGTACCCTCTGTTTGCAATTTTAGTAGCTTTGAAGCATTTGGTGAGGTGAGAAAGTTCTACCAAATTGGGAATGATACTTTAAAAATAACATAATTATATCCCATAATTGTGTTTTTATTGTTTTTTTCCTCCTTTTTTTTTTTGCTTTCCCCTGTATAAATTACTTTTAAGCATGTGATTAGAGCCATATGTAAACACAGATGCAACATCATGTGGAATTCTATTAACTATTCTCAACTACCTGTATTGAATTGTAGTAGAGAAGAAGAAAAATCTTGTGGATGTTGGAAGAAGATATGCATTAATATGTAAAAGTGTAATGAAAGTTTAGAGGCCTTGATGAAATTGTGGAATAGTATTTGGGATTGGAAAAGGTTTCTTAATGTTTGCAGCATGATCATTAATTTATGGGGAAATGTC